CCCTGCCCCTCTGGCCCCAGGGGCGGGGCAGGATCTTTCCATTTATGAAGAGCATTTAATAGTTGTAAATCTGAGTTTGAGGAGAAGAGTTTTGAAATTTTAGCCATAATTCCCATTTAAGCCCTTTCCTTTCAGCCCCTGGGATAAGGCAGGATGATATTTTCTCCTACCTTCTTATTGACATCTAATCATAATTTATCCAACCAAGTGAAAATTTAAAAAGTTTACGAACGACGGATGACAATGGAAAAAAGCTGATTGCTATAGGTCACATGAGCCTCAGGTAAAATTACATTGCTTTGTAACATTTCAATATATTCATACATGTACCATAAGTATCACACTTGGTGCTTTATTTCTAACAAGATAACCCCTCCCCAAGGGGCCTGTATCACTCACCTGAATAATTATAAGCAATCATGGGAAAATATTCTTAATAAAAATAATTTTGGAAACATTTTCATATATTGAGTCGCCTTGGCTTACGAATATTCCAGAATAAATCTGTGAGATCACTGAACCCTTACGGTAGGAGGAGTTACCTCTTTTGATCTCCACCCTGCTGCACTTTGGGAGCCAAACACTCACTGCCTTATTGTCACTATATTATATTACCCTTTGGGAGCCAAACCCTCACTGCCTTATTGTCACTATATTATATTACCCTTTGGGAGCCAAACCCTCACTGCCTTATTGTCACTATATTATATTACCTTTGGGGAGCCAAACCCTCACTGCCTTATTGTCACTATATTATATACCCTTTGGGGAGCCAAACCCTCACTGCCTTATTGTCACTATATTATATAACCCTTTGGAAGCCAAACCCTCACTGCCTTATTGTCACTATACTATATTACCCTTTGGGGAGCCAAACCCTCATTGCCTTATTGTCACTATACTACATGACCCTTTGGGGAGCCAAACCCTCACTGCCTTATTGTCATTATAATATATTACCCTTTGGGAGCCAAACCCTCACTGCCTTATTGTCACTATATTATATTTACCCTTTAGGAGCCAAACCCTCACTGCCTTATTGTCACTATATTATATTACCCTTTGGGAGCCAAACCCCCACTGCCTTATTGTCACTATATTATATTTACCCTTTAGGAGCCAAACCCTCACTGCCTTATTGTCACTATATTATATTACCCTTTGGGAGCCAAACCCTCATTGCCTTATTGTCACTATACTACATGTCCCTTTGGGGAGCCAAACCCTCACTGCCTTATTGTCACTATAATATATTTACCCTTTAGGAGCCAAACCCTCACTGCCTTATTGTCACTATATTATATTTACCCTTTAGGAGCCAAACCCTCACTGCCTTATTGTTACTATATTATATTACCCTTTGGGAGCCAAACCCTCACTGCCTTATTGTCACTTTATTATATTATCCTTTGGGGAGCCAAACCCTCACTGCCTTATTGTCACTAAATTATATTACCCTTTGGGGAGTCAAACCCTCACTGCCTTATTGTCACTATATTATAATCCCCTTTGGGAGTCAAACCCTCACTGCCTTATTGTCCCTTTATTATATTATCCTTTGGGGAGCCAAACCCTCACTGCCTTATTGTCACTAAATTATATTACCCTTTGGGGAGTCAAACCCTCACTGCCTTATTGTCACTATATTATAATACCCTTTGGGAGTCAAGCCCTCACTGCCTTATTGTCACTTTATTATATTATCCTTTGGGGAGCCAAACCCTCACTGCCTTATTGTCACTAAATTATATTACCCTTTGGGGAGTCAAACCCTCACTGCCTTATTGTCACTATATTATAATTCCCTTTGGGAGTCAAACCCTCACTGCCTTATTGTCCCTTTATTATATTATCCTTTGGGGAGCCAAACCCTCACTGCCTTATTGTCACTATATTATATTACCCTGTGGGAGCCAAACCCTCACTGCCTTATTGTCACTAAATTATATTACCCTTTGGGGAGTCAAACCCTCACTGCCTTATTGTCACTATATTATAATACCCTTTGGGAGTCAAGCCCTCACTGCCTTATTGTCACTTTATTATATTACCCTTTGGGAGCCAACCCCTCACTGCCTTATTGTCACTATATTATATTTACCCTTTAGGAGCCAACCCTCACTGCCTTATTGTTACTATATTATATTCCCCTTTGGGAGCCAAACCCCCACTGCCTTATTGTCACTATATTATATTACCCTGTGGGAGCCAAACCCTCACTGCCTTATTGTCACTATATCCTATTACCCTTTGGGAGCCAACCCCTCACTGCCTTATTGTCACTATATTATATTCCCCTTTGGGAGCCAAACCCCCACTGCCTTATTGTCACTATATTATATTACCCTTTGGGGAGCCAAACCCTCACTGCCTTATTGTCACTATATTATAATACCCTTTGGGAGTCAAACCCTCACTGCCTTATTGTCACTTTATTATATTATCCTTTGGGGAGCCAAACCCTCACTGCCTTATTGTCACTATATTATATTACCCTTTTTTTCATAATCGGAAAAGTATAAATTAATTTGTTTGATACAGAGAAAATCTAGTGTTTCCTTTTATATATGTGGTCTATGGAAAAAGCCAGTGAGTTTATTTCGTTATATAGTCTTATCACTGAAGCACTGAAACAAACTCACTTAATTGGATATGATCATCCTACATCACTAATATCCTCTAAACCCTCTCCATTCAGCTATAAACAAGGCACTGGATATGATCATCCTACATCACTAATATCCTCTAAACCCTCTCCATTCAGCTATAAACAAGACATTGGATATGATCATCCTACATCACTAATATCCTCTAAACCCTCTCCATTCAGCTATAAACAAGACATTGGATATGATCATCCTACATCACTAATATCCTCTAAACCCTCTCCATTCAGCTATAAACAAGACATTGGATATGATCATCCTACATCACTAATATCCTCTAAACCCTCTCCATTCAGCTATAAACAAGACATTGGATATGATCATCCTACATCACTAATATCCTCTAAACCCTCTCCATTCAGCTATAAACAAGACATTGGATATGATCATCCTACATCACTAATATCCTCTAAATCCTCTCCATTCAGCTATAAACAAGACAAGACACTGGATATGATCATCCTACATCACTAATAACCTCTAAACCATCTCCATTCAGCTATAAACAAGACTCTGGATATGATCATCCTACATCACTAATATCCTCTAAACCCTCTCCATTCAGCTATAAACAAGACACTGGATATGATCATCCTACATCACTAATATCCTCTAAACCCTCTCCATTCAGCTATAAACAAGACACTGGATATGATCATCCTACATCACTAATATCCTCTAAACCCTCTCCATTCAGCTATAAACAAGACAAGACACTGGATATGATCATCCTACATCACTAATATCCTCTAAACCCTCTCCATTCAGCTATAAACAAGACACTGGATATGATCATCCTACATCACTAATATCCTCTTAACCCTCTCCATTCAGCTATAAAAAGACACTGGATATGATCATCCTACATCACTTATATCCTCTAAACCCTCTCCATTCAGCTATAAACAAGACTCTGGATATGATCATCCTACATCACTAGTATCCTCTTAATCCTCTCCATTCAGTTATAAACAAGCCTTTATGCATTATTTTTTTTCTTTCATTTATGAACTTAAGAACAACCAACGTACAGGGTAAGAATGAAGACTTAGTACCTAGAAATACATGGAGGCAATTTTGCTGATCACTTTTAAGTGGTTAAAAATGTCAAAACCCCAGATACCTCAGCAATTTTAAGTTATTTTACCCACATAATTCATCAGAAATACTGCCTTACCGACTGAGGGAAGCCCCCAGGCTGGGACATAGGGGGTCCAGGCCGTGGTTGTCCTAAAGCCATGTTCTGATGCTGATATTGGGGCTGCTGTTGTTGCTGCTGCTGCTAAAATTAAAACAATAAAGGTCAAGGTCACTGAGTTCAAACTCAAGGACACTATGGTCAATATCAGAATAACAAAGAACAGGTTAAAAGTGTCAGATCTCAATTAGCTAGAGCTGCAAATGTAACACTGCACCTGCAACTATACATCCAACAATACCTACAACCATACCTACAACAATACCTACAACTATACCTCCAACCATACCTACAACTATACCTCCAACCATACCTACAACTATACCTACAACCCTACCTACAACTATACCTCCAACCATACCTACACCTATACCTAAAACCATACCTACAACTATCCCTCCAACTATCCCTACAACTATACCTACAACTATATCTACAACAATCCCTACAACCATACCTACAACCATACCTACAACCATACCTACAACCAAACATACAGCTATACCTATAACCATACCTACAACTATACCTACAACCATACCTACAACTATACCTCCAACCATACCTACAACCATACCTACAACCAAACCTACAGCTATACCTATAACCATACCTACAACTATACCTCCAACTATACCTACAACTATACCTACAACTATACCTACAACAATACCTACAACTATACCTACAACTATACCTACCACTATACCTCCAACTATACCTCCAACCATACCTACAACTATACCTACAACTATACCTCCAACTATACCTACAACTATACCTCCAACCATACCTCCAACCATACCTACAACTATACCTCCAACCATACCTACAACTATACCTACAACCATACCTACAACTATACCTACAACTATACCTCCAACCAAACCTACAACTATACATCCAACTATACCTACAACCATACCTACAACTATACCTACAACTATACCTACAACCATACCTACAACTATACCTACAACTATACCTACAACTATATCTACAACCGTACCTACAACCATACCTACAACTTCACCTACAACCATACCTACAACTATACCTACAACTATACCTCAACTATACCTACAACCATACCTACAACTATACCTCAAATATACCTACAACTATACCTCCAACCATACCTCCAACTATACCTCAACCATACCTCCAACTATACCTCCAACCATACCTACAACTATACCTACAACTATACCTACAACCGTACCTACAACCATACCTACAACTTCACCTACAACCATACCTACAACTAAACCTACAACACTACCTACAACTATACCTACAACTTTACCTACAACTATACCTCAAATATGCCTACAACTATACCTCCAACTATCCCTACAACTATACCTCCAACCATCCCTACAACTATCCCTACAACCATACCTACAACTATCCCTCCAACCATACCTACATATATCCCTACAACCATACCTACAACTATCCCTCCAACTATACCTCCAACCATCCCTCCAACTATACCTCAACCATTCCTCCAACTATCCCTCCAACCATACCTCCAACTATCCCTCAACCATACCTCCAACTATACCTCCAACCATCCCTCCAACTATACCTCAACCATTCCTCCAACTATCCCTCCAACCATTCCTACAACTATACCTACAACTATCCCCCCAACCATACCTACAACTATCCCTCAAATATACCTACAACCATACCTCCAATCATCCCTACAACTATCCCTACAACTATCCCCCCAACTATACCTACAACTACACCTACAACCATACCTACAACTAAACCTACAACAATCCCTACAACTATACCTACAACTATCCCCCCAACCATCCCTACAACTATCCCTCCAACCATACCTACATATATCCCTACAACCATACCTACAACCATACCTCCAATCATCCCTACAACTATCCCTACAACCATACCTACAACCATACCTCCAATCATACCTACAACTATACCTACAGGTATACCTAGAACTATACCTACAACTATATCTACAACCGTACCTACAACCATACCTACAACTTCACCTACAACCATACCTACAACTAGACCTACAACTATACCTACAACTATGCCTACAACTATACCTACAACTATGCCTACAACTATACCTACCACTATACCCCCAACCATACCTACAACTATCCCTACAACTATCCCCCCAACCATCCCTACAACTATCCCTACAACTATCCCCCCAACCATCCCTACAACTATCCCTACAACCATACCTACAACCATACCTCCAACTATACCTACAACCATACCTCCAATCATACCTACAACTATACCTACAAGTATACCTACAACTATACCTACAACTATATCTACAACAATACCTACAACCATACCTACAACTATACCTACAACTATCCCTACAACTATACCTACAACAATACCTACAACTTTACCTACAACTATACCTCAAATATACCTACAACCATCCCTCCAACTATACCTACAACCATACCTCCAATCATACCTACAGCTATACCTACAAGTATACCTACAACTATACCTACAACCATCCCTACAACTATACCTACAACTATACCTACAACTATACCTACAACTTTACCTCAAATATACCTACAACTATACCTCCAACTATACCTACAACCATACCTACAACTATACCTACAACAATACCTCCAACTATACCTCCAACCATACCTCCAACTATATCTACAACCATACCTCCAACCATACCTACAACTATACCTACAAGTATACCTACAACTATATCTACAACCATACCTACAACCATACCTACAACTATACCTACAACTATACCTACAACCATACCTACAACTATACCTACAACAATACCTACAACTATACCTACAACTATACCTACAACTATACCTACAACAATACCTACAACCATACCTACAACTATACCTACAACTATACCTACAACCATACCTACAACCATACCTACAACTATACCTACAACTATACCTACAACCATACCTACAACTATACCTACAACAATACCTACAACTATACCTACAACTATATCTACAACTATACCTACAACCATACCTACAACCATACCTACAACTATACCTACAACTATACCTACAACAATACCTACAACCATACCTACAACTATACCTACAACTATATCTACAACCATACCTACAACCATACCTACAACTATACCTACAACTATACCTACAACCATACCTACAACTATACCTACAACTATATCTACAACCATACCTACAACCATACCTACAGCTATACCTATAACCATACCTACAACCATACCTACAACTATACCTACAACCATACCTACAACTATACCTACAACCATCCCTACAACTATACCTACAACTATACCTCAAATATACCTACAAATAAACCTTGTTAACTGCTTTTACTTTATTGGCCTGATAATATACCCATTCCCAAGACGAAAGTATACACATTGATAGTATATGCATGTAAGTGCTATATATTGTTGATTTAAAAAAAAAAAAAAAAACTCCTGGCAAAAACAGGTTATTGAAAAGTATTTGCAAAATGAGACTTTGTAAGTACAGTGCTGACTTCCACCTAGTATAGTTCCTTATTTCAGCCAGGTACACTTTGTACATATATCAGGTATATCACAAACTGACATACAAACAGGCAACATTTTTACTAAGTTTGACAAAAAAAAGACAAATGCTTTTGTATAACAAAAGGTAGATTTCTCAAATTTTCAAGAAACAGAAATACAGGTTGGTTTGAAAAGTTTGAATGTGAAATAACCTTTTTGAATGTTTAAGTTTTAGATGTCTAAGGTGTAAAAGATCTGTGTATAAAAAAAATTGTACTCAAAAAGTACAGAGGCTTATATTCAAGATGTGAAATGTTAACTTTTTCATGGGATATATTGAGTTTGTTCTGATTGGCGAGTGAGAGACGTACTGGGTTGGAGCTGGCTGGCAGCTGTTGGGCAACAGGCTGGATCTGGACCTTGTCAGCAGACGTCACAATGAACGCGTCCTGTCTCTGAAAGAACACAACGCCACAGAGATTTTGTAAAGAATCAATTTTGTGAGTTGTAATGAAACAAAGTTCTGTTTCAAAATTTTACCCCCAGTCAAATGAGATCAACTTTTTGTAAAACATGGGTAGCAATTTGGCTTTGGTTGAAAAAAATCTTACGTGGTACATTTGTATTTAAAAGACTTGAAACAGACATAACAAGTTCATTATTTATTGGATTCTTAATGGCCAATCAACACAAAAGAATTTTATATTATAAATTATAAAAATTTCTCTTGTTAGGTGAAGGTCAATGCAATCTTATAACAGGAGCACCGCAAACGGATGCATAATACACCCGTCTGACCCTTTCCAATGATTTTTTGTTTGTTTGATATTTAAAGTACCTGGTAGCCATTGTCATGTCTATGTGATAAAAATGATTGCACTGATGCTTTTGTTACCAAGACTGATTGTCATCACTGTAATGTTCACATTTATGTAATTGGTTCTTTGCTAATGTACATTGTCATCACTGTAATGTTCACATTTATGTAATTGGTTCTTTGCTAATGTACATTGTCATCACTGTAATGTTCACATTTATGTAATTAGTTCTTTGCTAATGTACCGCCTAATGCCTCTTAATCAGGGCATGCAGTAGTCCTAAAAAAGTCAAGTCCAAAATTTACAAAAATTGAAATTATTTTCCCAAATTAAATCCATATTGTCCTTGTTAGACCCCACATGAACATCCATGTCAAAAATTAGGACAATAACACATGTTCTGACTGAACTGTACACTACCGAAGAAACTTAGGACAATAACACATGTATTCTGACTGAACTGTACACTACCGAAGAAAATTAGGACAATAACACATGTTCTGACTGAGTTGTACACTACCGAAGAAACTTAGGACATTAACACATGTTCTGACTGAACTGTACACTACCGAAGAAAATTAGGACAATAAAACATGTTCTGACTGAACTGTACACTACTGAAGAAAATTAGGACAATAACACATGTTCTGACTGAACTATACACTACCGAAGAAAATTAGGACAATAACACATGTTCTGACTGAACTGTACACTACCGAAGAAAATTAGGACAATAACACATGTTCTGACTGA